AGGCAGAGGTTTCAGTGAGCCAAGATCACACCACTACAGTCCAGCCTGGGCAAAAGTCAGACCCTATCTTAAAAAGGCTGGAGATATGGCTGGGTGCAGTGGCTCACACCTGTAATCCCAACACTTTGGGAGGCCGAGGTGGGCAGATCACTTGCATTCAGGAGTTCGAGACCAGGCTGGCCAAATAGTGAAACTCTGTCTCTACTAAAAATACAAAAATTAGCCATGCGTGATGGCAGGCGCCTGTAATCCCAGCTACCCGGGAGGCTGAGGCAGGAGAATTGCTTGAACCCAGGAGGTGGAGGTTGCAGTGAGCGCCACTGCACTCCAGCCTGGGCAACAGAGCAGGACTCTGTCTCAAAAAAAAAGAGGGTGGGTATGCTAGAAGTGTCAAAGGGCAGCAGGTGAAAAGCAGTACCCCTCCCCCCAAGCATGATCACAATCACTGCTAATGTTTATTGAGCGCTTACTGTATACCAGTTGCTGTAAACCACATGACACAGCCCCGGAATGTCAACACTGCCATCGAACAGATGGGGAAGCTGAGGCCCACAGAGGTCAGGTCACCGGATTCCTGCCTTCCTTTCCCACCATTTCTCATCCCGTCTGCAGCGTCTCCCCTGCCCCACTCGTTCCTCCCCAGGTATGAGTCATCATCGGAGGACTCCAGCACGGCAGAGAACATCTCAGACAACGACAGCACAGAGAACGAGGCCCCAGAGCCACGGGAGAGGGTTCCGAGTGTGGCTGAAGCCCCCCAGCTCAGGCCTGCTGGGACAGCCGTGGCCAAGACTAGCCGGCAGGAATGCCAGCTATCTCGAGAATCTCAGCACATACCCACTGCTGAGGGGGCATCAGGATCAAACACGGAGGAGGAGATCAGGTCCGTTTTCTGGGTGGGAGGGATTCAGGCAGGGCCGGGGGTGGATGACCTCTGCCTCAAACCCCACCATTCAAGCCCTTTGAAGGACCTTCCTATCAGTCATGCATACTTTAGTCTGAATTAGCAAACAAGCACTTGCCCCTTCTGGGCATCTGAAGTTCTGGAGGCTTTGCTAAAGGGCCTGGTGGAAGTATTTTGGGCTGCCGGGGTTAGGATTTGGGGGGCCAGCCAAAGTTTATCCTGAAGTCACCTACCTACTTTGGGATGTTTCCTCTACCTGCCTGTTCTATTTATGTCTCTTTTTCATTCCCCTGGTGAAAAAATTTGCCCTTGGGAAATATTTTCCATCCGCCAGTGGGCATTTGGAATAAACTTTGGCTTGGTGTCCACTCTCCCTTGGGGGTCTGCATGTTCCCCACATCTGCCCCTTGGGGTGCAATGTAAATGTGTGTCCTGGGTGAAGGAGGGTCTGAGATGCCACCATTCTGGTGACCCTAGTGTGAGTGACGTGGTGCAGAATGTCAAGTCCCTTCCCAGGCACCACAGCAGGATGTGAGGATTTTGGGGGAGAATGCAGGGGGCTGGGGGCTTACTTAGTCCCCTGCTTTGTCTGTTCCTGGCAGGATGGAGCTAAGCCCTGACCTCATCTCAGCCTGCTTGGCCCTGGAAAAGTACCTGGACAATCCCAACGCCCTCACGGAGCGGGAGCTGGTACGATCCCCACCCGCACTCCTACCTCCATCCCACCCGTGGCCTCTTCTCATCCTCAGTGACTTCCTGCTTCTGCCTAGTGGGGACCCTGAGACCCAAGCCCAGAGCTTGGGGGTGGGTGGTGCTCAAGTAATGGGCCTCGGAGAGAGGCGAGGGAGATGGGGAGGATGAACACTCACTGGCCAAGCCTGGCCTTAGGTTGCTGTTCTTCCTCGGGGCTTCAGGGGTGGGGCATCCAGATTTCCCTTTTGGGGCACCTACGCTTGACTTTGGAGATTATAACCAGGGCCGGGCGTGGTGGCTCATGCCTGTCATCCTGTTGCTTTGGGAGGCCAAGGCAGGAGGATCACTTGAGGCCAGGAGTTCAAGACCAGCCTGGGCAACATAGTGAGACCCCATTTCTATAAACAAATTCTTTT